CCTGGGAGTGCAGACCGCTGCCCACGGCGGTTGCCCATACAGCCTCAGAGCGGCCACCGGAGGCCTGTGACTCCTGGCCGCATGCTGTGGGAAGAGCCGGGTCACTCTGAGGAGAGCCTCCCTACGAGTCGGTGCACTGGGGTGACACGCCAGGGAGACTTCAGGAGTCGCATGCCCAGTGCTTGCTTCCGGGGCTTTCTCTGTGCAGCCCCTCCCTCCCTTCCCTCCATCCCAAGTGAAAGGACGAGATTGGCCTAGTCAAGTAGATGTTTCTCCTTCTCCCTCCTTTCATTTTCCTTTCCTGCCTGGGAGTCCAAATATTTCTGGAGCAGAGCAGAGGAAAACCTGGCCGGGAGGAGCAAGGACTTTGCCGAGGCTGTAAGACAGGCTTGACAAGGCCTTCCATCAGTTTATCAGCCTCCGAGGCTGTGGGCCCGCTCTGGGGAGCTGGCATTTTCTGCTCTGAGAGGGATTGTTTGGTTTGGAGCCTGTTTTCACTTTACCACAAAAATGAGTGACTTTTTCCCTCTCTCTCTCTAAACAAAGGAAGGCCATTTGGTTTCCATAACTCAGATCATCTGACTCCTTCCTGGAACGTCCACTTCGGAAGCAGGGCACAAAGCCTTCCTCTTCGGCTGGGCCACGTTTGGCTCAGGGGCCATGCCAACCTTGCTGCCACCTCTGCCAAAGCCAGTGGTGTTGTGATGTTTATGGGGTCATGATCTATTCCGAGGACGAGGAGGCCGTGCGTTTCTCTATCCACTAGGCAGCCATTTCACTGCTCGTTAGCACTGAGTGGGCAGGGGAAATTGGCACCAGGAGCTAAGACAAGCACTTGGCTTGTCTGCAACGGGGGGAGAGCATCAGGGAGGGGCGGGAGTGTGAAACTAGAAGTTAGGGGAATTTTTAGATGATTTGTAAGTATAAATTTCTTTGCCTTTTACCAAAGGTATGCCGAATTCAGTGCATACCCATGACAGGTTAATCTAAAGCATTTGTCTACAAGAGTCTGCTCCTCAAACAGAAGCCTGATTTAAATCAGGATTAGGGGAACAATGAATGTCATTATGCCCAACTGCCAACTGCCCCAAGCTTGAGGGCT